AACATCCTTGATATTCCCCTAATGCAATCGAATCCACACATCTCCGACTGAGTGCTAGTGCTGTCATGTTTTACAACGTGGCAGCTAGGACTTAAAACAGCATCAGGGAAGAGGAACGCTTGTGGTCTGCTGTTTAAGCACCAGCTCCATTCTGCTGAACTGGTTCTGCTGGACACTTCAGCTACGTCTTGACTCAAGAGCCCATGGAGGCCTGGTCTACACTGGGGGGCGGGCAAGCTAAGTCGGTCTAAGTTACGCAACTTCAGCTATGAAAATAGCATAGTTGAAGTTGACGTACTTAGAGCTACTTACCGCAGTGTCTTCACTGCGGTAGGTCGGCTGCTGACGCTCCCCCGTCGACTCCGCCTACGCTTCTCACTGCGGTGGAGTACCAAAGTGGATGGGAGAGCGCTTGGCAGTCAATTTATTGCGTCTTCACTAGACGCGATAAATTGACCCCCATTCGATCGATCGCTCCAGAGGTAAGTGTAGACATGCCCGGAGTTTTCATACCTGTTTTCTGGTGTCAGAGGGACAGAGAACACTCACTGGAGATCTACTTTGAAAGTTCTCTCAAGAGACACTTCTTCCCATTCAGGAACACGGTAAGTTATGCTAACTGCACCACAAAACTCCGCGTTTCCATTGCAACTGCTACACCAGATCCTTGGAAATTTTACTTCCAATGGATAACGGTCATGAAAGAGTTTTATGGCAATATGTCTCCAACGCTCACTCTGCTAGTCTTGTAAAAAGATACCAGGCACAGGATGAATTTTAATGTGACTAGGCTCAGCAGCAGTACCTAGAGAGGTGATTCAGCCAGTATGTGGAACTACTGTACTGGCTTAAACTTGATAATGAAACAAGTCTCCCCTTGCAAAACAGCAAGAGTGTTGCATGTGATGGACAAGACTTGAGCTAAGTTCAGGGGGACACCTCTGAGATGGCTTGGGAATTCTGTGCCTAGAATGTGAAAAGGCAGGAGATCTACAGGTTTCAAAGCAAGAAATGTAACCGTATGTGCAGATGAGACAGCTTCAGGTGAGCTGGGAAAACGGGAGAGCCTATGGTACAAACCTCACACAGTGTGGGATTCCCACTTCACCTTTGCCCCTATCCCCCACTCTCAAAAACAAAAACCCAACCTTTGAAGTCCAGACACTAGAAGCGAGAGTCATACACCTTACCCTCAACATGGTATTGGAAGCTCTCATGTTGCTCCAATGCTGGGTCAGCTCCTATGGCACAGTCTCCGATTAATGCTCCAGCACACACCAAGGTGGGAGTAAAGGTAAAGTGTCGAGTGAATTGCTGCTTCCAAAGAGCATTCTGCACCACCTCCACTGCCGCCCCATGAGCGAGTGTAAAAGAGTCCCACTTAAATATCACGCATGAAGGCAAACAACTGAATATTGCCAAAGCGTACGAATGCTTATATACAAATGCTAGAAGTCTAAATACTAAGATGGGTGAACTAGAGTGCCTGGCAGTAAATGAGGAAATTGATATAATAGGCATCACGAAAACTTGGCGGAATGAGGATAATCAATGGGACATGGCAATACCAGGGTACAAAATACATAGGAATGACAGACTAGGTCGCACTGGTGGGGGAGTGGCACCATATGTGAAAGAAAGCCTAAAGTCAAAGATCAAAATCTTAAATGAATCAAACTTTACCATAGAATCTCTATGGATAGAAATTCCATGCTTGAACAATAAGAGTTTAGCAGTAGGAACAGACTACTGACCACATGACCAGGACAGTGACTGTGAAATCCTCAAGAAGATTAAAGAGCCTACGAAGGCAGAAAATGCAATAATAATGGGGGATTTCAACTATCCTCATATTGACTGAGTATGTGTCACCTCAGGACGGAATGCAGAGATAAAATTTCTAGACACATTAAATGACTGCTTCTTGGAGCAGCTTGCCCTGCAACCCACAATGGGAGAGGTAATTCTTGAATTAGTCCTAAATGAAGCACAGGATCGGGTCCAAGATTTGCACAGAGCTGAAATGCTTGGTAATAGGGACCATCCTGTAATTAAATTTAACATCCTTGTAAGGGGGAAAGCGGCAGAGAAACCCACCATGGTTGCATTTAACTTCAAAAAGGGGAACCACATAAAAAAAGAGGAAGCTAGTTAAATGGAAATTTAAAGAAACAATCACAAGGCTGAAATGCCTGCAAGTGGCATGGATACTATTTAAAAATACCATAAACAGAGGCTCAAACTAAATGTATGCCCCAAATTAAAAAACAAATAGTAAGAGGACCAAACAAATACCACCATGGCTAAACAGCGGAGTAGAAGAGGTGGCTAGAGGCAAAAAGGCATCCATTAAAATTGGAAGTCAAATCCTAGTGAGGAAAATAGAAAGGAGCATAAACTCTGGCAAGTCAATTGTAAAACTATAATAAGGCAGACCAAGAAAGATTCTGAAGAGCAACTAGCCAAGCACACAAAAACTGACAGCAACCTTTTTATTAAGTAAAGCAGAAGCAGGATACCTGCCAAACAGTCAGAGGGGCCACTTGATGATCAAGGTGCTAAGAGAGCACTTGAGGAGAAGCTAAATGATTTCTTTGCATCATGTTCACTGCAGAGGTTATGGGGTAGATCCCCACACCTGAGCCATTCTTTTTAGGTGACAAATCTGAGGATTTGTCCCAGACTGAGGCATCAGTAGAGGTGGTTTTGGAACAAAGTGATAAAGCAATCAGTAATAAGTCACCAGGACCAGATGGTATTCAACCAAGAGTTCTGAAGGAACTCAGATATAAAATTGCAGAACTACTAACCGTGGTATGTAACCTATTGCTTAAATCGGCCTTGGTACAGATGACTGGAGGGTAGCTAATATAATGCTGAATTTTTTTTTAAAAAAGCTTCAGAGGTGATCCTGGCAATTATAGCCCAGCAAACTTAACTTAAGCACTAGGCAAATTGATTGAAACTACAGTAAAGAACAAAATCATCAGACACAGATAAACAGGATATGCTGGGGAGAAGTCAATATGGCTTTGTAAAGGGAAATCATGCCTCACCAAGCTATTAGAATTCTCCAAAGGAGTCAACAAGCATGTGGACCAGGGTGATCCAGTGGTTATAGTATAGTTGGACTTTCAGAAAACCTTTGACAAGGTGCCTCACCAAAGGCTCTTAAGCAAAGTAAGCAGTCATGGGATAAGAGGGAAGGTCCTCTCATGGATCAGTAACTGGTTAAAAGATAGGAAACAAAAGGGTAGGAATAAATAGTCAGTTTTCACAATGGAGAGAGGTAAATAGCAGGGTTCCCCCATGGAGCTGTACTGGGACCAGTGCTGTTCAACATATTCATAAGTGATCGAAAAAAGGGTGAACAGTGAGGTGGAAACATTTGCAGACAATACTAAATTACTCAAGATACTTAAGTCCAAAACTGACTGTGAAAAGTCACAAAGGGATCTCACAAAATTGGGTGACTGGGCAACAAAATGGCAGGTTAAATTTAATGCTGGTAAATGCAAAGTAATAAAGTAATGCACTTTGGAAAACAATCCTCCAAGTATACATTCAAAATGATGGAGTGTACATTAGCTGTTATCACTCAAGAAAAAGATCTTGGAGTCACTGTGGATAATTCCCTGAAAACATCTATTCAATGTGCAACGGCAGTCAAAAAAAGCCAAAAGAACGTTAGGAACGAGACAGATAAGACGACTAATATCATCATGCCACTATATAAACCCATGGCATGCCCACACCTTGAATACAGTGTGCAGTTTTGGTCATCTCATCACAAAAAAGGTACATCAGAAATGGAAAAGATGCAGAGAAAGTCAACAAAAACTATTAGGGGTACGGAACAGCTTCCATATGAGGAGAGATTAAAAAGACGGGGGGCAGGTCTACACTAGAAACTTGCATCAGCACAACTGCACCAATGTAGCTGCACCATTGTAGTGCTTCTGATGAAGACACTCTAAGCTGATGGGAGAGAGCTCTCCCATCGGCTTAATAACTTAACCTCCGTGAGAGGTGGTAGCTATGTTGACAACACAGCTGCTGTCTACGCAGGAGGTTAAGGTCAGTATAACTACGTCGCTCAGGGGTTCGGATTTTTCACACCCCTGAGTGATGTAGCTATATAGAAGTAAATGTGTAGTGTAGACCTGGCCTGGAACTGTTCATTTTAGAACAGACACGACTAAGGAGGGTTCTGATAGAGGTCTATCAAATCACAAATGGTGTGGAGAAAGTGAATAAGGAAGTATTATTTACCCCTTTACATAACACAAGAACTAAGGGGTCACCCGATGAGATTAACAGGCAACAGGTTTAAAACAAACCAAAGGAAGTATTTCTTCACACAGTGCACAGTCACCCTGTGGAACTTGTTGCCAGGGGATGTTGTGAAGACCAAGAATATAACTGGGTTCAAAAAATAATTAGATAAGTTCATGACGAATAGGTCTGTCAAAGACTATTAGCCAAGATGGGACACAACCCCCATGCCCTAGATGTCCCTAAATCTCCAACTGCCAGAAGCTGGGACTGGACGACAGAGGATGGATCACTCGATAAATTGCCCTGTTTTGTTCATTCCTTCTGAAGCCACTGCCAGAGACAGGATACTGGGCTTGCTGGATCTTTGGTCTTACCCAGTGTGGCCGTTCTTATGCTCTATGTGGGATGCTTCACCATTATGGGTACAGGGACACTCATCCTTTAAATTTAAAGCTCAGAGGATAGGCAAGCTTTTTGTTCAATTATCTGAGATTATCAGCCTTACCTACTCAAGAGACCTCCATCTCTTTCAGTTATGCACTATGATCGCTACCACATTTCTAACCACAGTTTGCTGTCAAAGGATAACACTGTATCTGCTAATACACTAAAAAATGAAGCTGTTGGATACTTTCTGGGTGGGTTTGACTTCAATTTCGGTGTTTTGGCCCACCTTAGATATCCATGCAGCAGTATCATGATCTTTTAAAAGCAGCACTTACATTTGAGCTCATGTGTCTGACCACATCCCGAGGGACGACTGAGCGATCCTCAAGCTTCAGCTAGGAGAAGAGGGGGAAAAAAAGACCAGGTTTAGTGACCTCAGACAACATTTGGTGAAAAACTAGGACAAAGTAAGTGAAATAGTCTATTTAGCTGTTAATACTTCATGCTTCTGGAATATAGGGCATTTCAGCAGAGGCTCGCAAAGTGCTTTTATAGACACTGGATTAACCCTCTCAGCACCTTTCAAGGAAGGCATTATACCCATTTTGTAGCTCTGAAACACGGCAATTACGTGACCTGTCCATAGTTTGCTGCAAATCAATTACGCTGCAACACCAGGAAAAGACACAGAAATCTTGACTCAGTTCCTGGCTCTCCCAACCCATATTTCAGTATCCTTTGGTGGAGAGGGGGGTGAAAGTAGATCACATAGGGCAGTTCCCCTTTTTCCTGCACTATTCATCTAACCAGTCAAGCATCACACACAATACCCCAAAACTCTGTGGTAATCCCATTTAGCCAAGAGCGTCTTGTGCAGCTCTTGGAAAGCCAAATCTTAACTTGCTAGGGATGTGATTTGTTACACCGTGCTTCCCCATCGCAGCAAACGCTCCCCTTAAAACCAGTCAAGTGGAGAGATTCTCTAGCCCTGCAGCAAAAAAATGTTAAGAAGTCATCATCTACAATACACGAGACATTGTTTATGCCTTCTGTTTCACTCAGCAGTCCCAGGCCAGATAACATTCTTGTATCAGAACACAGCATTAAAAGCAGAGGCTAAGATTTGTTCATATATATCACCTTTCAGACTCCAGGCTTCTCAAAGCACTTTACAGTAATGAGTTAGAAATTAGTTCCAAAGCGACTGTGGCAGCAAATGGAGTAGTCGAACAACCATTACATGCTCAACAATAGCTCACACACAGCCTTGGGCATCAGAACTCACTGAACTGAGCCAGGGAGGGGATGAGGCAACGTGGTTTGGTGGACTAAACGTAGTAGTAAGAGACAGGTACTTCTAACCCCATTTCTGCCAATGATCTAATGCAGCCTTAGACAGATCACAATCTCAGTTAAACATGGGAATACCAATGTAGTTTCCAGAGGTGTTGAGAAGGCACATTAACTATTGTCCGTACAGCATTTTCATCCCTGAAAATGTCCATTACGGCCATTTTGGACAAGTGTTCTGGGATCTACAAGAACTGAGGATAGAACCACTGATTAGCAGATTACTCTCAAGACAAACTTTTAACACTGCATCATCTATCCAACCATTGGAAAAAACTTGCCAAGGGTTCCAAGTATCAGAGGGGTAGCCATGTTAGCCTGTATGCACAAAAACAAAGAGGAGTCCGGTGGCACTTTAAAGATTAACAGATTTATTTGGGCATAAGCTTTCGTGGAGAAGTGGGGTTTTTTACCCGCAAAAGCTTATGCCCAAATAAATCAGTTAGTCTTTAAGGTGCCACCGGACTCCTCGTTGTTTTTGCCAAGGGTTGTTGTGGATTCTCCTTCACTGACAACTTTAAAATCAAGATTGGATGTTTTTCTAAAATATATCCTCTAGAAACTATTTTGGGATGTTCTATGGTTTAAATTATACAGGAGGTCAGACGAATGGTCCCTTTTGACCTTGAAAGCTATGAACTGCTTTTCCCCAATCAATCTCGATCCCAAAATTCAATACTGCTTCATCGGCATTTGGTAGAAATCCAAGCTGTAGCCTGAGGCTTGGATTAGCGATTTAGTCAAAAATTTGTAATCTAAGGGCAAGTGCTGGAACCAAACATCCTAGGATGTACTGTCATATTTTACTGAAAACCCATAAAGTAACACACAATTAACTATACTGAGCTGAATGGTTAAAACGGGACTGGGAGTCAGAACACCACCACTGTATATCTTTGAGCATGTTAATTTCTTATGCCTGTTTGAGATATCTCCTCCATCTCCTCCCCCCAACTCTCAGGAGTATTGAGGGTTAAGTTTTTATAAAGCTGTTAGAAATTCTTCATTGAAAAGGTACCGTAAGTACATAGTTATTTTAACAATAAACCACAGGTAATTACAGTGTTTACATTCCAATAAATACTTAACCATAAACTGCACTCTGATATTTTAAAGAATTAACTTATTCTGTTATTCAGAATGTACCATTTACGCTTATATTTTAACATGAATTAGACTAATTTAATTGCAATGACACTGGTGTTGAAAAACACCACAACATAAATTAAACATTACTTACTAAATCACACTTCTTTGTTATTAAATATAGTGTCTGGTAGATCCCCAATTGTGACAGGATGTTATGTCAAGCAAGAGTGATCGAACTTAAACGTTGCATAAATTTATTACAATAAGAAGTTGCAAACGAATATTGGTCCCAGCCGGCTCCTAACAGTTTACACACACACAAACTCAAGAACGAAGTGGCCTGAATATACATCCTTCCTGGGATTTTTCTTCACTGTTAACTTAAATAAAAACAGCCTCATCTTCAGATCCTTCTCAAAATACAATGCACTAGAGTTGCTCTCTGCAGCTCATCTCTGTCCTTGATTCTAAAACTATCTGCCCTAAGCAAAGCTCAACTATTTTACAATTCTCTAGTGCAGCCAATAAGATGAACCTGGTTTGGGTGCCAGGATGAGTGAGCAAAGCAGTGCTACATCTACATGCAGGATTCCAGCACCTGACATCCTATCACAATATTTAGAAAATCTGTCATTACACGGAAGACTACCAAATCCCAGATAAGACCAAATAAAAATAATAATAAAAAAAGATTAAAAATAGGATGCCTTTTCGTGAATACCCGATATTCAGCTCACTCAAGTTTCCTCTCTCCTTCTCCTCCTCTATTTGTGCCTAGCAGACCAATACTGTCTTCAACTGAAGTACAGCCCCTCAGTCAAAGTAACTAACTAAATATTTAGAGTACTTTTAAACCTACATCTCATTCGCTATATGTCGCTCTATGAAAATCAATATGGTGATGAGGCTTCTGCATTCAAGTCACATGCCTTGATAATGCCAGTAGGAATCTGAAATAGCAATTCCTTGAATAGGCACCTGCTTTGCTATTCCTGAGTAGCCCTGGCATTCAGCTCCACTAGTCAGATGCTTTGTCCCAGATTGACAGCACTCTCCTTGGCTACACTTGGGAATTCACTCTCTGAGGGGAGTAGCTTGCAGCGCTGCGAGCGAGCGTGCAGCGCTGATTACACTGGCGCTTTACAGCGCTGCACTCACTGCGCTCGGGGGGGAGGGGCGTTTTCACACCCTTGAGCGCAGCAAGTTGCAGCGCTGTACAGCGCCAGTGTGGCCAAGGCCTCAGCACCATGTAATATACCTGACTTTGAGCTTCGCAGCAAATCCATAGCCAAAAAGGCACCATCCTCATTTTAGCAGCGAAATACTAGTCTGCAACATCTTTTTCCAGGTCTGATAACACTTTGCCCTTTCGGGGGTGGGAGGGAGGGGACGACGATAGAGTGGGAGGAATACAAATCATTTCATCACTTACTTTCAGCAGCAAGTTAACAGCTGATATTTATGACAATTTATTCCAGTTTAAAAACCTGAGTTGTTTGTTACCATATGCACAACTTCTTAAAAAGTACCTCCTGGTCTTTGTAGAGTACTCCGGATATGCTAGGGTTAAATTCTCATTGTGATGCACGAGATTTAACCACTTAACTCATTAAAGCTAATGAGATTTCCTCTCAGACAGCCACCCTGTATGTTAACAGATCAAAGCAGAGCAATTTGTTTGGATGATTCAGAAGAGCCACAAGTGCCAAGAATTGTGTCAGGTAAAGTAGCGATCTAGTTTGAAGCCATAAACAACAAATATTTCCTTAATAGAAATGCTATTGAGATTGTTTTTTGAACAACTAGCTCTGTTGGTACTCCAATAAAATAACCTGTGTGTTTATTTTATACACAAGAGTGACAAGTCCTCAGAGAGTGCTCTGAAATAGGACACACTCTCATATGCTTAAAAAAAAAAAAATCAACAAGTGCCTACATTTTGAATATAACTAAATTTTCACAATAGTACTTTGGTTATGCTTGGAATTTCACTACCACAATGACACTTTCTCCACTGATATATTTGCATGGGGGGGGGAAGGGGGCGCAGTTTAAGTGGGGTCACTCGTTATCCAATCAAAATACAGGGGAAAATGCATGCACACATTATATACATATATATACATACATATATATACACACACACACACACGACATTGGCCTTTTCACCCCGTGGGGCAGTGATGGGATATTTTAACTTCACAGTTTCCACAGGGATAAAAGTGAAAAGTATTTCTGCATGCAAAAAAAAAAATACAACCACAAAGAGTGCAGCTGCAAAGCAAGTGTTCACTATAAGCAGGCAACACTGTCACACATGATAATACCGAATAGTCTGTTCTCTGCAGGATGAAGTGAGATTTTCAAGATAGAGAACAAGCTTAACCTGGAGAAACAAGCAACAGTATTAAGAACAAATGCATCCTACAGGAAGTGAATTGTTTCTTTTTGTCTACTAATGGACCGGAACTCACATCACAAAAAGGCACCACAACTGCACCTCTCGTAGGCTCAGAGGGGAGGAGCCACTGACCAAGTGGGTCCTGGAGATTGAACTACCCTTACAGAGATGCTCTCCAATTTAGGAGTTTGGAAACTAGCAGGGATGACAATAAGGCGGCAACTTGCCCTTGATGTTACCCAAGCTGAGACTTCAGCCCCCATCCTTTCACCAGCAAAAAGTCATGTAACACAAACGTCATATGTAGTTACGTCAGGTATAACAAGGAGTGTGCTGCAATAAAAAGGTGGGGAGAAAATAACCAGTCTTGATTGTACCCACTAGTTAGTGTCGGAGCATGCATATTTTATTATATGCAAGGAGAATTAACTCTGGAAATATAAATGTTAAAATGGAGGAGCAGCAGTGAGAAGAAAATAAGAAAGATCCTTCTTTAGAACCTAAGGGCAGATGGCAACCTTTCATAAAAAGAAAATGCGAGGCATTTTCCTCCCA